AATTAAATGATGAATAAAATTAATTTCTGTATCTATGTCTCCTTTTAAATCTTGCATATTCCAAAGGTCAAGATATTTATATTCGTACTGTAAACCTGACTAGATATAAATAACGCCGTAACCGCAATATTGTAGCAATATAAAAGAATAAATTTGAAATTATTTAGCAAAAAATCTAGCGAGAAGACATATTGATTTTTTTATATTAATAGTTTTGATTTTACCTCATCATTACATTTTGAAATTCCTGACTAATTCGTCTACGCCTTTAAAAAGTTTTCCAATCTTTTTAACAGAAACTATTTGCACAAAATTGGCTTAAAAACGTCATTTTTCCATACATTTCAATAGTAAAGCGTAAAAGAAGTGCTAACAACAATACCGCGTTTACAGTAATATAGCATTAAAAATACGTAGGCAAATTTAATGAAAATTGCAGATGATACGCTGTGAATACTAAGGAACATTTTATCAAATTTTCAGGATGTGTTTTCTCGTAAGAATTTTTATGCAGTAAACCCGCGACCTACCTTAAGCCAGATGCTATATGGCATTCACAATTTTGAAAGGGCACCATTGATCATCATAACAATAAACTTAGCAGTTGCTTAGCTTGTTTACTGAATACCCATACGCAGGGTAGGGGAACAAAACTGCACTCCAACTAATCAGTAATATTCATCAACTAGTGCTAATTGTAACGGGGACCGTTACAGATGTTCCCCAAACGCTCCCCAACTCCCTTTTGGTGCCATATTCCCTGTAAGCTTCATTAAATAAGACAAACTCTATGCATTTGAGATTTTAACAACGTTTACCCAGAAGTGTATCAAGGTCATTCAAATTCTAGCATTGCAAACGTGCGCATCTGAATGCATGTGCGTAATGACCATATCATCTTGTCTACACAATCTATATATTTTAATACACTAAATATTAAAGTATTTAATCCAAAATTATATAAAAAATACGCTCATTCAAGTGTATTTTTGATTTTACTCATTTTACGTGCAGGCACGTGCATACATGAGCATGGTGATCATACCTTCTTGTAGAAGTCCATTACGTCTATCTATGTTCTTAATCCCACCCCGTTTGGTTGAAAACCAAGGGAGTTATAGCTGTTTAAAGTTTCAGCCAATCAGATTGCAGTGCACGTACACGCACGTGTATGCATGTGCATGGTGACCATACCTTCTTGTAGAAGTCCATTATATCTATATATGTTCCAAATCCCATCCTGTTTGGTTGAAAACCAAGGGAGTTATAGCTATTTAAAGTTTAGGCCAATCAGATTGCAGCGCACGTGCATGCACGTGTTTTCATGATAATTGCTATATATCATGTTGTAGGATATCCTAATGCATGGCTATGTTTAAAATTTCAAAGGATTTCGTTTAAAAACAAGAAAGATATTGAGACTTTAGTTTCAGCCAATCAGAGTGAAGCACACGTGCATGCGCGTGAGATTTTGCTATTTTGACCATGACATATTGTCTATGCTACTAATATATCATAACATTATGAGTTTCAAAGCATTTCATCCAAAAATAGAAAAGTTACGGCTATATCTTTTATGTTGGTCATTTCACGCGTTGCACGTGCACGCTCTTGCAAGCACGTGCGCGCAAAATGACCTTCGTTCCGCAAATCTACATAACATGCCTACTGACCCTAAAAAGGTTTTACCTAAGTCGGATGTGTAGTTTACAAGATCACTCCCGGACAAAAAAGTACCCAGGAAGAAGAAGAAGAAGAAAAATAATAATAATAAGAAACAGAGTAAAAACAATATGTTCCCCAACTTCGTTTGGGGAACATAATAATCAGTAGTGCCTCTAACACTCTGACATAAACCCCTGACCCTAGGTTGCACAAATTTTTAAAAGGCACCCTTAAAATTGCCTATCAAAAAGTAAATAAATGTTTTATAAATACAAAGGACCAGGTTTCAAACAATTAATTCATTTTCAGTATATAAGTAGAGCCCCCCACCCCTGGGGCCTTGAAATTCACAATTCTGCAAGATTAGGGCCCTTGCTCATCATAACTATATAGGTAGTTCATCTGCTTCATACCCAGAGACAGAGAAGAAAATTTTCAAAGATTTAATGTATTTTCACTATATAATCAATAGAGCCCCACCCTTACACCAGAACCCCAGACCCTGGGGCAATGAAATTTATAATTTTTGCAGAGGCAATCTTGCTCATCATAACTATGCACTTACTTAGTTTATTTAATACCTAGGAGCAGAGAAGAAGATTTTCAAAGTTTTCATGTATTTTCACTTTATAATCAATAAAGTCCCCCCCCCCCAACACCAGAACCCTTGACCCTGGGGCCATAAAATTCACAATTTTGGTTGAGGCACTCTTGCTCATCATCACTATGCACTTAGTTAATTTATTTAATACCTAGGAGCAGAGAAGAAGATTTTCAGAGAATTCATGTAATTTCACTATATAATCAATAGACCCCCCCCCCCCCAACACCAGAACCCTTGATGATAGGGCCATTAAATTCACAATTTTGGTTGAGGCACACTTGCTCATCATAACTATGCACTTAGTTAGTTTATATAATACCTAGGAGCAGAGAAGAAGATTTACAAGGAATTCACATATTTTCACTATATAATCAATAGAGCCCCCCCCCCCCAACACACACACACCAGAACCCTTGACCCTGGGGCCATAAAATTCACAATCTTGGTTGAGGAACACTAGCTTATCATAACTATGTACTTATTTAGTTTATTTAATACCTAGGAGCAGAGAATAATATTTTCAAATAATTCATGTATTTTCACTTTATAAACAATAAAGTCCCCCCCCCCCCCCCCACCAGAACCATTGATGCTGGGGCCATAAAATTCACAATTTTTGTAAAGGCACTCTTGCTTATGATAACTATGCACTTAGTTAGTTTATTTAATACCTAGGAGCAGAGAAGAAGATTTTCAAAGAATTCATGTAATTTCACTATATAATCAATAGAGCCCCCCCCCCCAACACCAGAACCCTTGACCCTGGGGCCATAAAATTCACAATTTTGGTAGAGGCACTCTTGCTCATCATAACTATTTACTTACTTGGTTTATTTAATACCCAGGGGCAGAGAAGAAGATTTTCAAAGAAATCATGTATTTTTACTATATAATCAATAGAGCCCTACCCTAACACCACAACCCCTGACCCTGGGGCCATAAAATTCACAATTTTGGTAGAGGCACTCTTGCTCATCATAACTATGTAGTGTAGTGTGGTATGAGTGTGTTCAGGTACGAGTTAACTTGACACCGTGTGGGATGCGCATGAGCGGAGAAGTTGTCGTCTGGTCTGAGTGCATGGTGGTGTGCGAATTGTTTGCAGGGGAGATTGCACATTTGGTTATAATATTGTAATTCTTGTGTGATTATAATACTGAATACAACTATAAACGATTACCGGCGTTGTCAGTTTTTACATACAACACTTCACTGGCGCTGCGAGCAATCGACTCTGCACGAAAATTTCTGTGTATTGAATTTCGTTGATATTTTTCTCGTGGCGGGAATCTGTCAAAGTCCCACACGTGTATATATATAGTAATTCTTGAAAATTTACTGACAATTTGAATTAAGTTATGTGAAATTCTATTTATTCATTAAGTTATAATCATCACGATCACAAAGCCTGGCAGTATTATGTTTTTGTGCATTTTGTTGAAAAAAAAATCATACCAGAGAATATGCAGTTGGTGATTTCATCTATGTGTTGGATAGCGCCAAAACTAAAGGTCGTTCCAAGAAACTAGATCCACCATGGAAGGGACCTGGCATTGTTGTTCAGAAAATATCTTCATACCTCTACAAGGATAAACTTCAGAATACAGTCTTCATTACCAACCATGACAGATTAAAAAGGTGTCGTGACAGAAAAATACCGGACTGGCTACGCCTATGCCAGCACCGTCTGCGAAATGGAGAAAATATTGTCCAGTTGCAATCAATTGACACTTTTTGTATATGTGACAAACCTGTTGACGGACGTCTTATGATACAGTGTGACACATGTGATAATTGGTATCATGGAGCATGCGTCGCAATCACTCAAGAGGTAGCAGATACCTTGAAGACGTATACCTGTCCTAGGTGTCAAGTGTAAAAGCGTATTATATACTGTCACTAATTTATGTTGTTTTTTTTTTCCTAATATAAAATAGGTATCATGGAGAGAGATCAAGAGATTGAGGATTATGTGACAGCAGACGAGGCCGACATTACAGACGACGAGTACCTAACAGATGATGTGGGTCAAGCTCACGACACTGAATCAGATGAGGATTCATCTAGCCCAGACGAGGGGCTTCCCATTTAAAAGGAGGAGACGCGAGTCAAGCATTGCGCCTGCTCAGGAACCTGGGGACGTCTCAGTGAGAAGTCATACTCAGGGGAATAAGAGATCTTCTTGTCTAGTCGAGGGGTGCCATGGACGCTCCAAACACTTGAAGCACCATGCTTGGGAGGGAACACCATATTCCCAGAGTTTTTTGGGACCGCCCTTGGAATGAGCTCAACGCCTCGCCTGATTATCACAGGCTCAGAGCCTCCTGTCTCCTTGCGCTTGCCCAGTGCATTATAGGTCCAGCAGCAACAGTCCAGGACTTGGTGGGTTACGTCAATGAGAATATACCATTGCCTCGAGAGTATCCGATCATGCCCAGGACACTTAATCAGATGGGTCAGTTGACCCGTACGATGAGGTGGCCTCTGGCGGACACTTTCCAGATGTTGCCAATAAACTCACCAGCAGTGTTGATACATTGGAGGATAATGATGGCCATAGTGTGCAAGATGTCACCAGAAAAGAGATCCGAGTTCAAAACATGGGGAAAAGAGGACCTGGCCAACTTAGAAAACGAAGTAAAGTCAAGAAGGGTGATTCTGCAGAGAGAAGACTAGGAGTCCCTTGAGCAGAGTGATGGGGCAGAGGAAGAAGATGAGTGGACTGTTGTAGATGAGTGCTGGAGTGGTGAGGAAGAGGAGGAAAAGGAGTATGAAGTTCTTGTTATCCAAGAGGGGTACTCGGCAGAAGATGAGGAGCAGGACAGGGGGGACAGTAACAGTATTAAAGGGTCCCATGACTATAGTGGTGAACACTGGCCACCCAAAAGACAAGGAGGCCATCCTGGAGGGCCTGGAGAGGAATGGCGTATCGGTAGATGATGTCGAGTGCTGTATCTGCACCGACTGCAATGTGGATTTCGTGGGAAACCTTAATCTCTTCCCGGAAACAGTCTACATTGCATCCGTTGACATGTGCCTGGGTGATTTACACCACAGACGCCTCGCTTCTGGCCGACCATTTCCCATTGACAAGCGTGTAGAGGTCATCTCCACGCCAGGGTCATCATGTACAGACATATCTGTCTTGGTGAAGGACACATACCTTGGGACAGTAGCAGTTGTCGGCGACCTGTTTAGATGCCGGGAGGACCTAAAAGATCCAACACTTTGGAGAAGGGACAGTACCAATCCAGAGCGGCAGGAAGTCAGCAGGGCCAAGATTCTGGAGATTGCTGACTATATTGTTCCTGGTCGACGACCAATGTTTAAAGTCCCTGTATAACTCTACATATAATTTAATTTTAATTTTTCTTACTTTGCAAGGTATGCAGGGTAATTAAGTACTTAATATATGAATATTATGATAGATTTTTTTCTTTTCTATCACTTGCTTCATTACATACATAGGATTAGTGATTTGTACATGTTTTCATTCGTTACATGTATAGTTTAACATGCATCATACAGTTATATTTGTTTTGATATAGTGCATGAGTGAGTGATGTAGGGAGAGATTCGAAAGTGTTTTCTAATACCTGTTGTAATTTTTTTTCTTTTTCTCTCTCTTTAGCCAAAAAGGGTATTACATGTACTTAAAAAGTGTATAATGATGTATGTGACATATATTCATAACAATCATATTGGTGCCATGTTACATGTGATGTTGTTTGCAAACATGCTTTATTTCTATGTCCATTACAGTATTATTATTATTTGCATAATATTTTTCAATCTTGTTAAAGTATTCAGATTTAGTCACATTTAAGAATAAGTAACTTTAAAAATTTAATAACAAGACTTACATATGATGTATTAAGGTACAGGAGTACTTCCCTCCTTTTCAAAAGGGAGGGGAGTGTAGTGTGGTATGAGTGTGTTCAGGTACGAGTTAACTTGACACCGTGTGGGATGCGCATGAGCGGAGAAGTTGTCGTCTGGTCTGAGTGCATGGTGGTGTGCGAATTGTTTGCAGGAGAGATTGCACATTTGGTTTTAATATTGTAAGTCTTGTGTGATTATAATACTGAATACAACTATAAACGATTACCGGCGTTGTCAGTTTTTACATACAATACTTCAGTACTTAGTTGGTTTATTTAATATCCAGGAGCAAAGAAGAAGATTTTCAAAGAAATAATGCATTTTCACTGTATACTTATTTAGCCCCGCCCTAGCACTAAAACCCCTGACCCCAGGGCCATGAATTTCACAATTTTGGTAGAGGACTCAATGCTGATTACAATCATGCAAATAGCTTGACTGCTTGATGTCCAGGAGTAACGAAGAAGATTTTTACAGATTGCATTAATTTTAGTGGTTTTGGCCCCACCCATCAGGCCCCAGGGGTCAGGGATCATGAAATTCACAATTTTTGTTCCCCTTCACCCATAGATGCTTTGTGCCAAATTTGGTTGAAATTGGTTCAGTGGTTGCAGAGAAGAAGCTGAAAATGTTCAAATGTTAACACACGACGGACGACGACGGACGACGAAAACGGATAGCAATAGGTCACCTGTGTTTACTCATAAACATATTGAAGTGCAGATTCTGCAGCATTGTCAGCCTTGTTATTACCCGGAATACAATCCAACAAAGTTCGACATTTTTACTTTGTGTAGCAAGATGATTGAATTTATTTAATATACCCAAAATGTACGTATGATCACTGTTCATATTGTGTATGGACTGTAAACATGAAAGCGAATTTCAAAATATTGTAAAAGAGTTTTCATTCGAAATTTTAATATATTGAAAAGCAAGTTGTTTAGCTTTGGAATCAGCGTAAAAATTGTTGCTTCGTTTGGAGGTCTTGTAGAAAAACATTTTTATTGAGAGTTGCAGCGGCACTGCCTTAATCCTTTGAGCCGTCTGTATAACTGGAAGAAAAGAATTTCAAAAGAATGAAAACAAACACCTAGGAAATTGACGAAATCCCGAATTGACATTATAATGACACAAGGCATGAATAGACTTCTACGCATCTTTAATAATAAAACTGAAATTGTAGTTGGTGAGATTCATACTCAGTACCTTCCACGAGAATCAGACGAATAGGATAGATCTCCAAATAGGGTTTTCTGTCAGCTCCGCACCGGCCTCCCCATAAACCCTTGGCAGATTCATTACGAAAACAAGGTGATATGGTGGGGCCATCTAGCGACAAGGGAATAGGTAGAGAAATAGAACAGCTTTAATGCCATTTATGAATAACATTGAGGAGAACGAGGAAGTACGACCTCGTATTTGGTAGCCCGGGTGAAAGCCAATGGAGGGAAATGAAATCCCGGAGTACAGGGGCGCGGCTTCGGTTGTTACTGTTGGATGTGGCCCATACAGTAACTTTTGTACGGTATCTCTTTTTTTCTTTAAATTGATAAGGGATCTGTAAGTAACTAATATTTTTTCAGGCGAGAGGGGAAGACAGATGAAGATGCTTTCAGGGAGTGGTTTTCAAAGATTCAGCTTCTGTACAGCATTAATGTTAACGGCTAAGCATATGGAAATCAAAATCACTTCAATCGAAACATGAACAAATGCATTTTTCATATTTAGCAGCATTTACATAACCAAATTCCCTGAATACATTGAATCAATCCTTAACTGATAAATGATGTATACATGATTTCCTAGTTATTACAGTTCCTTTATTACATGTATTGATATCATTTCTAAACTAAATCACACATTAAAGAAAAAATCAATATGAGATACCCTACCAAAGTGTTACTGTATGGACCTCATCCCCCGCTAACGATCGAAGCCGCCCCCTGTACTCCAGGGATTTCAGCATCTCCCTCCAATGGCTTTCACCCACCAGCCTGTCGGGTCTACCAAATACGAAATCGTGCTTCCTATACTCTATTTCCATGTTCTCCTTACCGTTTTTTTGTATGTGGCAGCAAGCCCAAAGCTGTTCAATTTCTAAACTTTTGCTTTAGTATAAGTGATGTGTGATGTAACACAGATTTATTTAATTTGCATTCACTGCAAAGAGTGATGAGAAGACATGGCTACGGAGGGCCAGATTATGATACTCATTTGTACCATTGCTGCGAAAACGGGTGTTAACTTCCACCAAGTAAACAATATTATGACCTATGGCATACCCAGGGAGTTGGAGACATTTGTGCATCAAATCGGTAGAGGTGGTGGGACCCTCACATAAACTTGTGTTGTTTAAGCCACTTAAAGCTGAACACGATTCTTAAAAGGAATCTGTCCACCATTTTTGTTCCCGAGTCTCGCCACTCTGCAGACCCCTATAAATAGGGCAGAACTTAGTCACTGTTCAGTGTAATCAGTCGATACCGGTGTAGACGGACTTATGCTATACAGAACTTGGTAGCGAGAATAATAACGTAATACTTTGTTCAATACAGGAAAATAAGATACCAAATAAATTTACAACTATAGTTGTATAAGTCAGTGCAGTATACAAACAACACAGATAGACGTAACTGCAGTAAAATATAAACAAAAGTAATGCAAGATAACCAGCACGAACACGGGTCGCCATTCCACGCCGATACCTGTGACAATAAAGCAGTCAGGTGTAACGAATGCGACGAGTATACCCTAGTATTGATGTATCGTAGAAAATGCTATCGAAAATGGCGTTTGCCTATTTACGAGTCGTGCTCAGCTTTAAAGGTTACTTAAAACATATTGAACCAGGACTTGTTCGAATTGTGAATGATAACGGTGAATGTAGAAAAGACATGTTATGCAATGCTATGGTCATCTTAATAATAGCACCATCTGATACCAACAAAAGTTTCTGTTACTTTTATATGTCTTTATACTTGAGGAAGATTAATGACATTTCAAACCCTTCCATTAGCTTTTAAATATTTAACAGTACGTACATGTATGTAACAAATGTAATCTCAGTCTCTGCGGTTAATATGTCAGGATATTATAATGCTTGCATTGCAATTCTTTAACAAAAGTAAATGTAATTTTTATTTCCTAAAGGTGGAATTAAAATAGATGACCTTTAACAATTTATCTTGAAATGTTGGCATTTTTAATAACTACATGTAAATTCAGTGATGCACAGTTTACGTTGCTTACAAACTTATTTTTAACAGCTGAGAAGTTGACATGTGTACAGTCATTGGTGGATCATGTTAAAGAGAAGTCCAAGGGATTATGCTAGCCGCACAGGGAAATAGCTGTAGACGAGAGAATAGTTTCTTCAAAAGTAAGTTCTCTGGTATTCGTCAATTTTTTTAACACAAGCCAATTTGCTTCTGTTTAATCCATTTTTCACCATGAACCTGAGGCGTAGTCCACCTTATCGTATTCAAGAGGGTAGATACACACGTCATCACTTTGTACACAAAGTATAGTAGTATGAAGTAAAACTTTTACATGAATATGACTAGGAATATAATGCTCATGTGCAATACAACGTGAAACAAGATACTTAAATATGAGAGGAAAAATACATTGAACAAAGAAAACGAAAGCGTGGTTTGACAAACAAAAACAAGATGGCGGCGCGACAAGATGATTTCAGTGAGTGATGAAAGCGTTATTGAGGCGGATAATGGCGATATAGGAGAGGAAATAGATGCAAGTAATGAAGAAATTGATGGAATTGACGAAACCAACGTGGAAACGAAGGTGATTAGATTTTGAATATTTTTAACGAGGATTCCGACGGCGAAGACGAGTTTCACGTGTTCCAAAATCGCTGGGTTACATAAGATTTCACAGGCCATGTAAAACCGAGATTTCGGAAGGTTGCAGGTGCTACAGTTGAACATTCAGAGGAAGCTATGGCAGGGCAGTACTTTAATTTAATATTGACAGGCGAAATGTGGGATCGACTTGTCCAAGAAACAGATATATACGCAGGACAGTAGAGTGAAAAACCAAGAGGCCCATGGACCACATCGCTCACCTGAGCTTTGACCATTCTGCTCTTTACCAGATTTCCCCCTTGTAATACATATTGTGACCACACCCTACCCCACTGATTATAATTTTGATAATTTGATATCTACACTACTCCAGGATGCTTCCACCTAATTAGTTTTAACTGTATATTATATAATATCAAATAAGTTTATGATACAGTATCATACGAGGGGTATTTCAAAAGTTCTGGGAACTGTTTAATAAAAGATTAATCGTTTTACGGAAATTATTGAGTTTGATATCATTGGAAAGATCAGAAAAATATACACATATCGTGACGTCACTTTATAATTTTTGTTACGTAATAACTCCGAAAATGACGTCAGAATATAGAATGTTTAGCATACTGACCGTAAA